GCAATTATTCCTCTCTGTCAATTTACATTTCCTAATTAATCTTTCCTCACCTTGCTGTGTTTGCTTTTGCCCCCCTGTCACGTTCTATCACCCTGTATTCTTATTTATGTGCTTTTCAATATCCGCTTGACTTACTCTCCCCTCTGTTATTACTGTATTATTCTTTCTTGGGTTCTTTGGTATCCTACTTTCTACTCTATCTTTCTATTTGCCTCTATCTCTTGCTTTCCTTACTGCTTTTTCACTCACAGCCAATAAGGAGGTTTTTTGCCTTCCCCCAGCCCCCAACCCCACCCTCTTCTCCTCATCCCACAAAGACCTCTGACTCTTCAGGGCATAATGATTGCCCTCTTGCTCATCCCAAAACCCATACCTTCCCACCTAAGCCAAGGTCTTCAGAGAAACCACTCCAGACTACCAGATCCAACCCACTTCCTGCCACCAACTCCCCAACTGTCCCCCCGCGGGGTCATAATTCTTCCGCTGGGCACAATGCTTGCCGAACAGCAACCAAACTGCCCGCATCTGATCTGGCCCCCAAATCTGTACCCCTTATACAGGTTACCCCTCATCCGTCACCCCGTGGCAGCCCCCTCCCTACTCCCAAGGGAACACCTGTGCACACGCCTAAGGAAAGCCCAGCAGGCACTCCTTCACCAACCCCACCATCCAGCCCAAGCATTGGTGGGATGCCATGGAGGACAAGACTGAACTCTATCAAGAACAATTTCCTGGGGTCACCAAGATTCCACCGTCGCAAGCTGCAAGGTAAGAGAATATTAGAATTTCAGAATAAATGGATTGGATTGATGACTATATTGTATATTCTAGATCAGTAGTTCAGTGGTGTGGTTTTCTGTATAGAATTTGTACAAATAAGGAGGGCAAACATTGTTTTTTAAACCTCTTTAGCTTAAAAAAAACTGGTATTATGCCACTGTCCTCTATTTTGAGATGAGAGAGAATTTAGTTTGTGATTTGTAATGAGAGAAAAAGTGGAAACATAGTGGGTCCTAGATTATTTTACCTATTATTAATAACAGTCTATTAATATATGTGTTCAGTTCCTACAGCTGATGAAATGAGCAACTTGACCCCGGAGTCATCTCCAGAGTAAGTATTGTTCACTGACTGCACCCATAAAGACTGTTACCTACCCCCATTCCATTACTAATTTCTAGAATCCTGACTGTCACTACAGGCCATGTAAGCAAACAAGTGTTACTAAATTAGTTTTAAAAATGACTGTTAAAGAATTTGTCTGTGATGTAATGATTTTGTCAATCAGGTTAAAGATAAAGTCCATGTTAACTGTGGATGATGCTTTACCGTCAAAGCTTCGGTATTGCTGTTCTCCTAGTTATGAGATTTACACAGCACAGCCAGCCTGGTGACCTGACTTTTCTGTGCGATAGTTAAGCAGCACAGCCTGGTCCCCTGGCTGCCCCTTGCCTGTGATTGGACAGTGAAGGATCAGCAGCAGATTGACCCTTTCTGCTTTATCCTCCTGTCTATATGTTCCTTTTCAACACATGTGAATGCAGGACACCAGATTAGCCCCAAGCGCTGCCCCTTCCTCTCCCAGTCTGAGGGCTGCTATACAGGGGATCACAAAAGGCTGAAACTTAGTCCTATTAAGGTACTTACATAATTGCAGTTAAATATACATTCATTTTTTTAATAAATACATAAAGGCATTCGTTGGTGTTTTATATAGGTCTGCAGTTCAGCTTTAGGCTAATTTACATAACTGTTATATAAATCATAAAAATGGATATTATTCAACATCACTGTTCAAAGGTAGAGAGAGAAGATTAGGAAGAGAAAAGATAAATGTGTGCCTAATGGAGTGGGTCACGCTGGAGGATATAATTTCTGTCATACTGATAAAGCCTAATATTCTCAATAGTTATCAAAAATGGCAGGGTAAATGCTTGGCACACAGACCCAACCAGTCTCAGGGTGCCCATCCTAGCTGTCTATAGGTATATTTTCAGATGCTTAAACTCCTACATT